CAGTCATTTTGGTGTCACCCCCCTCTGAAAAGTCGTGCGCGCCCGACAGTATCAGGAGAGAGGAGGAGACCCGGCGGCATACCTGATCCCTCCGGGTGACTGTCCCCTCCTCTCTCTGCCTGGCGTCCATCACCAAGATGGCCGCCGGCAGGTATCAGAATACCATCGCGCGCGGTGACGTCTCGGCGGGGGTGACACTCGGTTACCGCTCCCGCGTGTCACCCAGCCTCGGGACGTCCCCCGGTGACCATACTTAAATATCCAAGTGTTATGTCACCACCAAGTGTTCATCTCATAGTTAGAAGTCAAAAATGAATGAATCCATTGGAATGGCCCAATGAATATAAAACGTCATGTGATTCATCTCCTCTTTATAAAAGCTTCTTCTAAAATATCTCCTTAAAACACCCTCATATAGGATACCGTCAGGGCCGGTGCAAGGATTTTTGCCTACACAGGCGAAAGAGCCTGTGTAGGCAAACACTTGGATAGTTAAAGGAGAACTATGGGGTCAGGGCTTTTCCCCATAGTTCTCCTCAGGGTAACGGGAAGACACAAACTAGCGTCCTCCCGTCACCCTAAGCTCAGTATATAGGGAGCTACAGCTCGCGGTAAACTGGAGACGCCGCAGCCGGAGCGGATCCCGACATCGATGCCGAGATCCGCCCAGCTGCGTGACTGACAGCTGGCTCCTCCTATCTAGAGGCAGAGCCAGCTGTACCCGCCCCCTCCCCCGTCCGTTCTGCCAGTCAGCGCTGGCGGAGGGGGGAATCCAGCCCCTCCCCTGTCACGGCAGAGAGCCGTGACAGGATAGAGAGGGGAGCGAACGCCGGTATCTGTTCACTTCCCGATCTACTGAGCCGACCTGTGACAGTCTCATTGTCACAGGTCGGCTAGAACTATGAGGTGAGTGAGAAGCACCTCCCCCCCCTCCCATAGTTCTCCTTTAGTATGGTCACTAAAGGGGTATTAGTTATAGTAAATGTGGTTTTCGAAAATATTCAACTAGTGAGAATAAATTAAAGTATTACAATAATTATTACGGCCATATTACAGATCATAAGAACCCCCGGGGCTGTCTGTGTGCACCCTTGGCTCCGCCGCATTATGATGTCTGTGAGGGGTGCGGGACTCTGATCCACGCTACTCGGAGATAGGTTTGCAGATGATTCCTGGACCTTGGGTAAGTGGAGGGACAACCCTGTGAGCGTGTTACAGCATATAAAATACTAAAGGATGAGCATTGCACATATATGGATTATATATTCCTAATTAGCTTCCTGCCACAACATTCCCCGATGAAGTACATGAACGAAACGCGTCGGTTATTTGTGGATTTTTGCTAGACAACATGTGAAAAGAATATGAAATATGTGAATGGGATTTTAAATATGATGCAGAATATGTTCAATGTGAAATGAGACTGGAATTGAGGAATTCATTAATCTTGTATGTTCTCTGTAAATCATGACCTTGAGGAATCTAGTAATCATGTATGTATTGTATGTTTGAATCATGGTATCTTTAGGATATTTAATAAATTGATATTAATTGACACACCGGTCTGGCACCTCGTTCAAACCCCCTATACTAATAGGATCTACTTTACATTTGTTACAATGTTTCCATTCACAGAGAATAACGTTAAAATAATGACGTTTCTGCAAACTCCAGGACTGAAGAGTCCTGCTTAGGTCTCACTTTCCTGAGGGCTGGGGGGGGAGTTTTGCTTCCAATAACCTGTTCTGGCAGATTTCATTATCACTTGTAAGCTAGATGAGCAGGACTGTCCTAACTAGGGATGCGCCGATACTAGTATTGGTGCCGATACCGAGTATTTGGGTGAGTACTCGTACTCGCCCAAATGCTCCGATGCCTTCCCCAATACTGGAACTTCCGGTCAGAGGGAGATCTCCCTCTGACCAGCAGTGCCGACGGAGAATCGATCCAGCTCCCTTTCCAATCAGGAAGCCAGCTTCACGTGTTGCTAGGCAGCCTGGCTTCCTAACCAACCAGGAAGCTGGGCGGCACGTCATGACCCACCTCCTGGCTTCTTGATTGGTCAGGAAGCCAGGCTGCCTAGGAACAATTGAAGCCAGCTTCCTAGCCAATCAGGAAGCCCGGAGACGGGTCATGACGTTCAATATTCACACGGAACCCATCGCCCTCCTGACGGAATAGAAACCCTTTGGCGTCGGGCGGGTGCAAAGAGTGACTACGGGCGCCTCGGTGGATCAATAAATGAATGTAGAAATGGTCACTCGCGCTCCAGATTCATTTTCCGGCAATGTCTATTGACCTCTCGTCGTGTCACATTGTCAGGCGACGTTTCAGAAACCACGCAGTTCCGTCTTCAGGCAAACAACAAGCGACGGGCCTCCCGTGCCTCCTGATTGGCCAGGAAGCCAGACAGCCTCAGCCAGTGAAGCCGGTGTTCTTAGCTTGACAGGCAATCAGGAAGCCGGGCGACGGGTCATGAGCCACCAACCCGACTTCCTAATAATCGGGCCACACAGCACTGGGATCAGTACCCGGTATTGGCGAGCACAGGAAAAAAAAAAAATATCGGTACCACTAACCAAAAAAACGGTATCAGTGCATCCCTAGTCCTAACAAAGGGTTAAAGATCTGAGGACATTGTATGTTAATGAACTTCTAACAAACTGTCCCTCAGTCAGTCCCATTTCATCTCTCAGGAATCTACTGTAACCACTAGAAGGGATTTAACTCATCCCTACTCTATTCATAAAAAAGCCGGCTACATACAATGTATTGCCAGAAGTATTGGGGCGCCGTGCTCGGCCATGGAAACCCATTCCATGAAGCTCTCTACGCGCTGTTGTTGTGCCAATCTGAAGGCCACATGGAGTTTGGAGGTCTGTAGCTATTGACTCTGCAGACAGTTGGCGACTTCTGCGCAGTGTGCGCTTCAGCATGCGCTGACCCCGCTCTGTCATGTGACGTGGCCGACCACTTCCTGGCTGAGTTGCTGTTGTTCCCGGTTGCTTCCACTTTGTTATAATACCAGTAACAGGTGACCGCGGAATATTTAGTAGCCGGGAAATGTCACGGAACACCCGAATCCGATGATTTAGAGGGGGAGGGGCCCAATACTTTTGGCAATATAGTGTATGTCAGGTATGATCCAGTTATATATATTTATTGATTTTTGCATCAGTGGAAAATGTTTCAGAATAAGGAAAGTTTTATGTTAAATAAAGAGAGAGACCAAATGTGCGCTGTGTATCGTCATTCATCACAGCGTGTAACATGTCATTTGTGTTTTTCTCTTAGTTGTCTGAATAGTTTCCCAGAACCGATACTGAAATGTTTTTCTAACCTCGCTCGGGCACCACGTTGGGTCAGAGACAGACCGGAGACCGCCTGGACCGAGCACAGGAGAGAAGGATTTGTCTTGGTTGGTTTGGATTCTTGAAGCACACTTGGCGTTGGGTTTGCTGAGCCTGACTGAGCCGGGATGCAGACCGGGCTTGCTTGAACGAAGGCCTAAGTGTGGAGGAAACACCCGGATCTGACCAGCCCCGTACCCAGCTGGTAAAGTTTAAACATCGGGACTACATTCCATCAAGTGCCAAAGTTGCCCCAGTGCCAGTCTGATCCTTGTTTTACAGACACCAAAGGGCTAAGGCTAAAAGCAATAGAGACTAGGATCAGTAACCGACTGCCAAATGTTGTGATACTTAGGAGAGGCTCCACTCTACCCACATTGATGATCAGTTCCAGTGTTTCTAACCCCCACCATTGCATTGGTGCTGTTATCCCCACCCCACATCGGCGGTCAGTGGAAGGGTTGTTTGCCCCCACTCCGTGTTTACTTGCCAGATCACGCTCCGTTCTGTCCCTGATGATGTCATTGGGACTCTACTTCTACTGTTTGTCGGAGATCGGCAGCCCACCTGACAGTATTGGCCTCATTTCAATGCATCCCGCTGCCACCCTACATAGTGCCCAACAGATGGCGGACCCTGCTCGGGATGTGCCAGGCCGCACAATAAGAGTTGAATGCAGCCTGCGGGCTGTGTGTTGGGGCTTTAGGGGAGAAACTTGATCTCAATGTCTTTCCATTAGTCATGTCTGCAGAAGAGAAAGATGTCAGAATATAAGGACTGGTCCAGGAAATACAGAGAAGTGTCCAAGCCGAACTCCAACCAGGGGCAGGAAACCTTCATTGTTCTGTGCTGCAGTTCAGTAACAGTAAGCCCTCATTCACACGGGAATCGGCCCGCGCGTACAGCGTGCTGCGTGCACGGCCGTATCGGGCAGCTCCCGGGAAGGACAGGTGCTGCGTGTGATTAGTACTTAGCCCCCGTCCTTCTCTATGGGACTACGCGGCCGTACGCCCCCCTACGCTCACCTCAAGTGCAGGTCCGTACGGGTGCGTGCTTCCTGGCTCGGACGCAGACGGGATCCATCTTGTCAGTGTACGAGTATGCTCACCCGCACAGACGCGCGGGGCGGGTGAGAGCGTATGGTGGCGTACGGCTGCGCAGTCCCATAGAGAAGGACGGGGGCTGCGTACTAATCACACGCATCACCTGACCTCCCCGGGAGCGGCCCGATATGCAGCACGGAGCTGTACGCGCGGGCCGATGCCAGTGTGAATGAGGGCTTACTGGTCTTGTCCCTCCCCCAACCTGTGATTGGGCAGTGAAGGAGAAGCAGTAGGCTGATTAGTTCATCCCTCTGTCCTAGGCTGTCCTCACTTCCTTGTCTTAGGATGACGATGCCATAGATACAGCGCAGCAAGTGAGCGTAGTCACCCAGCGGCAGGAAGTATGCTACTGGCGGGATCACCAGGTGAAAATCAAGGAGAAAAAAAACCTGAAAAGAGAAAACAAATGCAGCCGCCACCACTGAGGATTGGGAAGCTGCAATACAGCTTTCTTCTTAGGCTCTCATATCCTTTATATACTGTATATATGTCTGCGGTGTGTTTTATGATGTGATTGAAGTCCCCGTACACAATAAAAGTTGTATATTTTCTACACATTTGATTGAACTTCCTCTTTGTCAGGAGCCACAGGAGAAGTCTTGTCTCCGGGTCTGGTCTCTCAGACTGCAGTGAAAGCTCTCACACGGGACGCACAGCAATACGGCTCCCATAAGAGACGCGCCGCAATGAACTGCTGACATGGCAATACCAGAGCCAAGCCAAATCCTGGGTTCACATACTCAGCACTTGAGTCCCTGAAAGAGTCAGTCCACCTCTCATGATCCAGCCCGGAGTGTCCATTTATAACATCCCAGCACAGGTCTGTCCTGAGGCACTTCCTGTACTTAGATGACAACACTGCTCCTCCATACACAGGGCCGGAATTACTCTCCCTGCTGCCCCAAGGCCGGGTTCCGCAATGCACCCCCCTCCCCGCCAACCCCTCCTCCACCATCAACAGAGAATGGCAACCGGATGGCAGGGGCGGCAGGGTTAGTTTTAATTTTTTTCCCGAGGATGGAGCCAGAGGAGAGAGGTAGGTGCGTGGGGGAGGGGAGGACGTTAGGCTGCAGACATATTACAAGTGATCGTGGTCGACATTGCCGTGATCACTTGTAAACAAACAAGCGGCTTCCTCACACTACATTTAGTCCCGCCTTCCCAAAGCAGGACTAAGTGTAGAAAGCAACTTACCGCCCAGGCTCCCGGAACTGCATGCTCCGGGCGTCGGGGGACTCCGCACCGCTGCCGCCCCTCTGCTCCCTGCCGGGCCTCGGTGGCCTTGTGGGGAATCCGGCCCTGCCCATACATACAATACGATGAGTGAGTGTTGTCACCCTAGGACAGGAAGCGTGTCACTGGCAGGGTCACAAGGTGAATACAAAAGGAAAACAAATCCTGAAAATAGAAAACGAATGCAGCAGCCACCACATCCGAGAGCTTTTTGGGGTTAGATACACTTTGTACGACGGACGAACGCCGTTCACATGACGTTACCGCCGCTGGATGGAGCCGAGGAGCGTAGGAATTCCTATAGAATACAGACATCAGACGTTCATTATGCGGAGCCCCTTCTGTGGGAAGCGGAGGGCTGTATTCCTTCCTATCTGTGTTCCCCCCCCCGCCGAGGAGAATGCCAACCAGATAGCGGGGGTGGCAGGGTTGGTTTGAATTTTTTTATGTTTTTGTTTGTTTCTTTTTTTTAAACTTTTTAATTTTGTTACTTTTTTAAATATTTTTTTATCGTATTATTTTTTTATTTATAATTATTTTCGTATTTTTTTATATTTGTCTTACTATTTTTTACTTTATTTTATTTTTTAATGTAATTTATTATTACTTGTTATTTTTTTTTTAACTTATTTTTATTTATGTCATTATTTTTTTTTATCAATTTTGTTTTTCACCTAACTTTATTGCTATCACACAGGAGCTAACAAGTCACTGTGTATTTAGCATTTGGAGGTGACAGGTTCTCTTTATTATGTGGCAAATAAGTTGCGCTCGGTCTAGTTGTGAATGGATTATTGACCCTGTCACCTCTCCTCTCTCACCTCTCTCACAGCTCTCCCCTCTCACTGTCTACACGGAGCGGCAGGGTTACTTTTAACCCTGCCGCTCTGCTCACCGCTCTCCATCCTGAAGACGACACCGGCGAAGACGGAGTCGGGAGGACGCAGCATGGAGAGAGGTAGATGCAGGGGAGGGAGGGGGGCAGTGGGGGGAGGACGGGCCGTCAGTCTAATTACAAGTGATCTCTGCGACATCGCCGAGATTACTTGTAAAGAAACAAGAGGTTTCCCCCGTTCTACATTTAGCCCGGCTTATGCAAAGCCGGGCTAAATGTAGAAAGTACATTACCGCCCGGCGCCCGGAACTCCATGTTCCGAGTGTCGGGTGATTCAAACCTGTGCCGCCCCTCTGCTCTGTGCCGCCCCGAGGCCGGGCCTCGGTGGCCTTGCCGGGTATCCGGCCATGGGGACAAGATCTCTCTATACACTGGGCTCCCGCTGTCTGGGAATGGTTGTCACCTCCATAGATCAGAGGAATTATGTGTCACCTCTAATCCCACATATCAGTCATAGGGAGATGAAACCGATTCCTTCTGATAGCACATATGATAAGCTACGAGCACATATAACATTGTAGGTGTCAAGTTCACACATGCGGTTGAATGGACTCGTTGCGATCGGACTGACGCGCTGGTTTCGGAAGTCCTACCCCCGATCCCGGCAACAGAACCAGCGGGCCGGAATCACCTGTGGCCACTTCAGAAGGCAGAGCCTCTCCTCCCTCAGGAGGTGACACCTCCTGAGGTGATTGGTCAAAGGGCTGGAGCTCCTCCCACACCCAGACCCCCAATAAATTGGGGAGCGGGGATCAGGGCCGGCCTTAGGCCTTTAGACGCCCTGTGTGAAAAAGCTTGACCGCCCCTCAGTGACCACGCCCCTCAGTGACCACACCCATTTTTTTTCTACTAAAGACTCCCATTTTGTTAAGCCCCAAAGAAACATATTAAAAAGTGTGATAAAAATAAAACTTTTATTCAAAAGGTATTAAACTTGTCGGCGCAATAGAAGTCTTCTTATCAAATAAAACAACAGAAGGTAAACAATAAATGTCAGACTACAATAGAGCCTATAATAATAAAGTGTCAGGTTGTCATGCCGACCCCTTTTTCCAAGTCAGTGTCTATAGTGTATATAGAAAAGTAAAAATAGAAAACAGAACATAAAACCCGGACTACGTGTTAATTCATGAATTACTATTTGCCCGAATATACGAAAAATGTATTGGGGCACATAGTAAGTTGTTTGAGAAAGTACAAGTACTTGTCAAAATGCCCTGTATCAGTCCCGATACCGATGCTTGTATCAGTATCGGGACATCCCTAGTTTCCACGGACTGATCTACTAGGAAACCATACACACATAGATCCCTGTCTAGCAGATCAGTCCATGGACGAACTGCAGGTGGTGGCAGACTACCATCAGTCAAGACAGTCCTGGAGCAAAAGAAAAGAAAAATAGGCGGAAGGACTACATGACAGGGTGGACAGGGAACTCGGAAGTACGGGGGTTAAAGTTAGTGTTAAGGGGGGGGTGGTCACTTACCTGATCGGCCGGTTTCGAGAGTTGCAGGAGGGCCTCCTTAGTGGTCTGGAGGGGGGCGGAGTAGTACTGGTTCGGTCTGGATTTGCCGTGCGTCAAGCGAGCTCCCCCCCCCCCCCCGCCCCTTTTTTCCGTTCTCTCGCACTAGTTGCGTACAGGTTCCTGTCTGTTTGCACTAATGGTCCTGAGGTCTGTGTTGGCGGGGGTTTTGGGTTGAGTCATTTTGGTGGTTACAGGGACTCGTCTCGGGTGCGGAGTCCTTGGCGGATTCTTCAGTAAAGAGGTCTAGCGCAGCCCATACACTGCTCGATTCTCGTACGAGAATCGCGGGAAATCCCGCGATCGTACGAGAATCGAGCAGTGTGAACGAAGACGTGCGACCGTTTCTACTGTACGGTCGCACGTCTTTTGTCTGAGGAGCACGCTAGAAAACCAACCGGGAATCGTACGATTTTCGGCTGGTTTGAACGGTGCTCGGGAGACAAATGCTGAACGGGCCGGTGTGCGCACGCGAACACTGCCCGTTCAGCATTGCGGTCATCGGAAGCCCGCCCCTCAGGGGGGTGGGCTTGCGATGATCGAGAGTACGATCTGCCTGTCCAATTTGGGCAGACCGTACGTTTTTTTAATTACTTTACAACCCTCGCAAGACTAAGGTCTTGCGAGGGTTGTAAAGTGTATGGCCACCTTAAGGCCCCCGTTCACACTGAGCGATTTATCGCGCGGTAATTCCCGCGATATCGCGGCTATTTACCGCGCGATATCGCTCTCCAATGCATGGCAATGGGGCTCTGTCCGTCGCTGTCGCGGGTCGTGCGTCGCTACAGCAGGACCCTTTTTGGAGCGGATTTTGCCGTGATTCTAGCTTGCCTAGCTGTCACAGGTCGGCTCAGTAGATCGGGAGGTGAGGGAACACGTACCGGCGTTCGCTCACCTATCGATCCTGTCACGGCTCTCTGCCGTGACAGGGGGAGGGGCTGGATTCCACGCTCCGATCTGCCAGCGCTGACTGGCGGAACGGACGGGGGAGGGGGCGGGTACAGCTGGCTCTGCCCCTAGATAGGCAGAGCTAGCGGTCACTCACCCAGCTGGGCGGATCTCGACATCGATGTCGGGATCCGCTCCGGCTGCGGCGTCTCAGTATACCGCGAGCTGTAGCTCCCTATATACTGAGCCTAGAGTGACGGGAGGACGCTAGTTTGTGTCCTCCCGTTACCCTAAGGAGAACTATGGGGAAAAGCCCTGACCCCATAGTTCTCCTTTAATTGGGAGGTGGGGATTATTGGAGGGTGGTGGCATAGAAGCGTGGGAGTTTGGGTGTAAAGATTGTTATGGGACTATGTTCTACCTTGTCATGTGTCTGGTGTGTGAGCCGTGTGAAAGTGGTGACACAAGGATTCTAGCTCGTAGGATATCTTGAGGAATCGCAGAAGTGTGTGGTAATCACTTGTCTGCTACGCAGTCCTTTAGGTGCCCATACACCTGCCGATTATCGTACGGTAATCAGCAATAGGTTGGACTTGATGGACTTATGTCTTTATCCAAACTCAAATACTACGTAACTATATAAACCGCTATCGTACGACAATCGGCAGGTGCGTGGAAGGCGCGCAACCGTTTCTACTGTACGGTCGCACGTCTTTTGTCTCCCGAGCAGGCTTGAAAACCCGCCGAGAATCGCACGATTGTCGGCGGGTTAGTGCCGTTCTCGGAAGACAAATGCCGAACCGGCCGGAGTGCGCATTGGGAATCGTCGGAAGCCCGCCCCTGAGCAGGGGGAGGGCTTTCGATGATCGCAAGTACGATCTGCCTGTCCGAGATGGGCCGATCGTACGAGCCTTTAATTACTTTACAACCATCGCGCGATGAAAGTCGTGCGATGGTTGTAAAGGTTGTAAAGGGTATGGCCAGCTTTAGAGTGCACCAGATCCTATGTGAGATTTGCATCTGCGTGTGTTCAGTAAGCTAACGAGTCGCCCTCCAGTGGCCGGCTCCGGTATTACACACTGTGACAATTGTTTCACAGGTATGTTTTATCAGCCCAAAGTAAGCGTCCTCCGTCCTCTTCCGGACGAGGAACCCGTTTG